GTGTGACAAAGAAGAAAAATATGCTGGGAAGAAGCTCTTATGACAAGAATCCAAACCTGGATCTATTACAATTGGAGATATAGTATTTTCTTTTATCACCAATTAATCAAAAGTTTAAGCAGTTGGGAAATGTACCCTAGATTGTGAATCAAGCTGATATTGCTACTGTCTTCAGGAGTGGATTATGTATTTGTATCCTGACCCAATTTGATTTTACTAAGAAGTTGTCTTCTGTATGGGATTTGCTTTACCTATGTACTAAAAATGGATACAGATGGCAAGACTGCAAATTACTTATATGTATTTGGAATTATTTTCTAATTAGCGAAAAATTCAAGGGAGAGTAGAGTATGTTGGAGGTGATTATTGTATTCAGGACCTTTTTTTGTCGTTTTTTGTCCTTTTTTTCCTTTTTTTTTTTTTTTTTAAATTCTGATATACAGTTGCCACTAATTTCAGCCAACCATGAAGTACCTTCTTATTATTCATGGATGCATATCTTTTTGTAAGATTGAATGTACCAATTCACCAATTTGTTGTATATGTAATTTACTTGCTGTTTATTTATTTATTCTTTTCTCAATGCTTGAATAATTAAAGCATAAAAAGCTGATAGGAGCTGAAGGTTTAAATTTTTTTTTAATCCATCTAAACAACCAGAAATTTGCCACAGTTTTTAAGTTTTTAGTTGGCGTGTCTATGTGTTTAGTTAAACATCATTTGTATTATAAAAGGATTTAATAGTTTCTCAATAATTTTTCATTCATATTGTATTAAATTCTGTTTGGTTTGGGATATGTTTAAATAGAGCAGTATTTTATGGTACATGTTTACTTGTGCTTATAATTTCTCTTAGGATCTGGCTTTGCAGGTTGAATGGCTGTGTCATTTAAGCATATCCCTGTTTATAATACTCTTGCCGCAGATGGCATTGACAGTCTTAGTCATGCAGTCATGTGGAATGGTATTAATTCTCACCTTTTTTTTTCCTTTTTTTGAAACTTCGTAAGTATGTTTTGAGCTTTTGTTTTTCCTACTAATGGAGGCCCAAAAGTTTACTAAAAGTATTTTGGTTTTTCTTTGCGGAAGTAACTCATATCAACTCAACTAAGCTTTCCCCAACTACAATGGGTTGCCTACATGAATCCTATATCTCCATTCTGCTCTGTCACTGGGCTTACTTTTGAGTAATACTTAATATTTTAGTTCTTTGTAACTATTTCAACCCTAGTATTACCTTCCATAAAAACAGTATTAGTTTCCCCAAGTGGATCACTTAAATAGTTGAAAGATATGTGTGGAAGTAAACATATGAAATTTGGAAAATCCTACTTGTGCACGTAATATCTGCAAGTTTTGATGACATTTGATCCCATTAGTTGCCAAGTTTGATTGATCCTTATTGCTTTGTCCCTCATAACTATGTTCATATGCTGAGGTTTGCACAAATTTTCTTTTGCAAATCTAAGATCCTCATTGTGTGTCTTATAGTATTATGATAGTCCAATTTTTTTAATATATAAATTTGAAAACTTGATTATCTTTATACAAAATCTAGACTTATGATTTATTAATAATGAGAAAAGCTAAGGCTTGGGTTTTGGTTAGTAGATGTGTCAATGATAATATATTCCATTTTGAAGTCAACCGCATATGACTTAGTATAGCAAAGAGCAAGAACCACAACTTTACAACTGCATATTATATAGAAAAAAATAACGGGTCCAAGATTATAATTGGGCTCCAAACTTCTGCAAAATTTATAATTATTTATTAGCACATACATTTGTATTCTTATTGTGAACAGAGCATAATAAAGGTTGGTAATATTTTGTAAAACATTTGAGTGGTTGACTGAACCATGCATTTCATTAGTGAGGTGATAAAATCCTGTTAGAAATAGTTAGTCATCTGCTGTCTATGCATGAAGTTCTCTGAACTTGGGGAATTTGACTTGTAGCTTACAACTGAATATTGAATAAGTGTTTCTTAGATTTTTTAGGTTTAGGCTGGAAAATTGGATGTTGAGTATGCTTTACCCACGACCAACTCAGTATCTGTTGGATTTTGCTCTTCCCCAGTACAATATGTTGTATGTGTTGCTTTTGCACTATAAGAGATATCTCATTGTTTTACTCATTCTAAACTTGTTTTTGGGATTTGGCACTCTGGCATGTGCTTCTTTATGGGTCTAGTATACTTAATAGTTTCCATGTGAAGCTATCTAAGCTGTTAGTTGTTATGATCTAGTCTATTGTATCTGAACTAGATAAATTTGAAGTGCTACTTGTCTCATAGTTTAACTTAATATGGGAGACTAGGGGCCTACCTCCTTCAACTTCTTGTTGTGCTTCTTTTGTTTTCCTCGTGACCCTATAATGGAAAATGTTTGTTCTGTATTCCCAGTGTTTTAGTGAGAAATGCCTGAGAAGTGTGATAACATTTGAAGCTGAGAGAGGATATAGGACTGCTCTCTGTAAAAAAATGAGGTACTGCTGGTGGTTCTAGACTGGAATGGTTTAAATTTGTGATCAAGAATGGAGTAATAGAGGAAATGCCATACTGAATGTTTAAGATTTTACAGGTTTAAAAACTTTTTCTTCTCTGGGTTCCCAAAGTTATGCTCTCGATCAAAGCATAAGATTGCAGAAACACTGTTCGAGGAAGTAGATAAGTGTGATGCGGCGAGGATATCAAGCCATTCAAATTTTTTTAATAAGGTTTGTTTGCATTTGGTATTATTGCATTTACTTGTAGCTTGCTCCAATTTAAGTTGTGTTCATCTTATATTGATCAAGGAATGGACCTTTCTCTGTCATACTTACATTACATGCTTTCAAAGTCATTCAACGAAATGTTAATCAACTTAATGTATGTTCCATTTCAATGTTAAATGTATGTTCCATTTCACTGTTAAATGTTTGTGGTGTACATATGTGAAAAGTATTATATTATTTCCAGGAAACTAGAGTGATTTCATGTGATTTATTTGCAGTTAAAGATTTATCTTGGCAATAAGCTGTTATGTGAAAAGTATTATATTATTTCCAGGAAACTAGAGTGATTTCATGTGATTTATTTGCAGTTAAAGATTTATCTTGGCAATAAGCTGAATGTATGTTCAACTCTCTTTGATAATGGTGAAAGGATCCTGTATATGCAAATCTTCATTGTAGGTGGCAAGATATTCTTAAATAACCTTTCTCTTTCTACATGAAGACAGAATTAAGAAATTGGACCATGTCCATGGGGCACTTTTTATTATCTTTTTTTCTTTTTACCTGAAGTTTAGATATGATGGCATATTTTATAATGTTCTGCTTTTAACTTTGAATATTATGGTGGATCACCTGATAAGTCTTTCCAGTTCTATCTGTTTTTAACTGTCCCACTTAAAACAGTATAATACCATAAGTTCCTCATGGAACATTAATGTGATTTATTTCTAAATTTAGCTTCACCAACCAATGACAGATCAATTATCTTTCTTCATTTTGTCACTTGTATCACGTCATTCATATGTTATTTGTGTTTATATTTATTTGCTCTCAAAACAACTGCATTCTTGTATTGCACTAAAATTAGTGTTAGCTAAAATTGGCAATTGAAGAGGTGTTGAACACGTTATAGCTCTAGAAGCACATACACTTTTGCAGACCTGCTGTCTATGTGTCTAACACATGTTGAACAATGACATTAACTGGACATGTCTTGACCTCTTTCAGAAATCTGTTAGAACATGCCCAATTATGATTAGTATTATTCTTTCTCCTGTTTCTTATAACTGACGAAGTATGAAACAGATAGTTAGAATATTTTGCAGCAATAGTAATATGTTGCTGAAACATAAGTATGGTCTCTTTTTGCAAATAATTTTCCCACCTTAAAAGACCTTTATAGTAGTATTGTTAAAGGTGTAAATTTGGTTTGTATAAAAATTTGAACCATATTGATTTTACTTGTCTATTCATTTCTCTTAATTTATATCTACTATTCTTCATTTGGTTTTGCTGATTTGTTGCCTTGATATTCTCCAAACATAATTGCCATTTGGCATGTTCATTGTCTATATTCTTCTTAATGTTTGTATTTGTGTTAGAAGTCTAGGCCATTGCATGTTCAGGAAATGATTCTTCAAATTTGTAAGAGAGTTTTTGAAAATATTTTGAGTTTTTCATCAATTACTAGTTATGATTATTAGTTGTAATTTGATACTTATATTGCTATCAGGAATTGATGCAATTTTGTAGTACTCAACAGGCAATGCAGCCAAAATCAAGAAGGCAAAGGGGACATAGCCACTTAACTACAGTAAATAGGCAATCCTGGTGATCACAGATTCCTTAATCTAATGAGTCTACACTTTTGCTCCGCATATCCCATAAAAGGAAATGTGCCCTACACGCAATAATGTTTATGGACTTTATGGTGCAATCGAGTCTATGTATCTGTGGAACACAATTAAGCCCATTTTCTTAAACAACAAACCCACAATTAATGACAGCTCACCTTGTGAAAAATTTGAACATGAGCAGCCAGGGTTTCAATCATTGATAATGAACTTCACAAGCCTTATGGTGTCATCACAATATAATTGAATCCCAAGTAGTAATTACTTTAGCACTGCTGTTTTGAAGAAATTAGCTTTTGTCATCCAAATGTTTATGACATATGTGCTCGTCTCCTTTTCCACTGTACTCCATGTAAGCACCAGTGGTGCAAGTAGAACTGAAAATCGGTTGATTTCCGGAGAGGATATAAGTTGTTTGCTTTGTTTGTGATGTCCTGACTAATGCTTATCCTGAAATTATCTGTTCTTAATTTCATTATTCTTTGTGTTATTTTGTTTTTGCAAGTTCTCAGTCAAGATTCAGTAATTCAAAGTTTTTTACTTTTAATGCCTTTAAGGTGTTAGTTTCCTCTGTATACTGGGGCTTCTAATTTCTTTTTACTTCCACTTATGTGGTGGTTTTGTTATTTGCTTCTAGGTTCCTGTCTCAATGAGCTTCAGTAGTCTAAGTGATTCAGAGGAGAGCGAGAGGGTTCAAAATGAGTCCTGTACAAATTTTAGAGATGCAATGGATGATTTTGACGTCTCAACATGTAAACGATTTCCTTCTATCATCTTGGGTAATTCTCCGCAAGTGGAATTGTATGATGAGACCATGTCTTGTGATGAGGCCATAGCTTGGTCAGGAAAGAACCATTTTCTTGTATCTGAAATATATAAAGGACTTCTATCTGGTTCTCTGGGTGCAAAGTCTATTGATCCAGATTGTTTCTATGAGCTTTTGCCTTCTCTTCAGTCTGGCCTTCCAAGCGCTAACTCTTCTTTATTTAGAGATGGAAGTTCTTATGAATTATCTTTATCTGCTGAGCCCCTAAACATCGAGGCAGAAACGAACTCAGATCCCAAAATTACTGTGGATGATTCTTCAACTAGAGCTTTGCCTGAGATCCTTCCAACAGCTGGATCTGTTGAATTGATTCTAGACAATGCTATCAGTTGCATTCCTGGATTGAGTAAGAGGCAATGTCATCAGCTGGAAAATTGTGGCTTTCATACGGTAGGTTCTTTAGAGGTTATTTATATTCTTAGTTTTGTCATGTTTAATTTCTCATGGAGGCTTGGGATCACATTTCCTTTTGATCTGTAGTTGCGGAAATTGCTCCACCATTTTCCTAGGACCTATGCTGATCTACAGAATGCACAGTTTGGAATTGATGATGGGCAGTACCTGATTTTTATTGGGAAAATCTTGTCTTCGAAGTGAGTTTGAATTTTCTTTGAGAATTATATTTTTCCAGAATGATTATTTATTTCTTAATGTAGGGAGTCCAAAATCATTTCCTATATCATTCAGTTTTACTGTATTTCTTAGTGGTAGCAATGAACATGATATGGTCTGCAACATTCCATGATACTGGATTATCTCTTCTAAGGAGCTGATTAAATTCTTGATTTGAATTTCAATTTCAGTATAAAGAAAATTTTGAAATAGAAGTGCACAAGCAAAGAGTGGTTTTTTCTTTAGAAATTCATGTGTAATGCAGTGTAAAAGGAGGAAGAAAACTAATTTTACGAGTACAGAGTACACAAATCCTAAAATTTGTGAAACTCTAAAGAGATTTTTCTTTTTCTTGTTGCAAAAATGATATTTCAACTTTTGTTTTGTGGATCTTGCAATTATTCTACCAGTTACTTGCTAAGCTGAGAGAGACTACTCAATGATTGCACTGTTGGCTCACTTATATCTCTCATCCTTGATCCATAATTATGCTCCTATTTTCATTAGTTTGGGATGGTAATACAGTTATGGCTGGTCTAGCTATTAGGATCATTTATTTTTGAATGTAAATTTATCTCACTAAAGAAAGCAATTAGATATTTTAGCAAAGGAGCAAAAATCATTTAAACATTTGTCAAAGTCTATGGCCCCACCCTCTTTGGAAAGAAAAAATCAAAACTGAACTGAAAAAGGATAAACGATTTAGTGAATCTTCCTGTTTGCCAATGACAAAAGCAGCTATGGTGTTAAAACTAGTTGTTGAAATTGGTTTCTGATCTGATGACTAGGCATAAGCTGGGCTTGATTAAAATTGTATGGATCCTATAACTATAAAATTTGCAAGGGACCAAAATAATCACACATTTTTTATAATGGTGGCATGAAAGTCAAGACAGAAATGCATCTGCAAAATTAAGCTCCATTCATCCTTTCACAGAAGAAATTCTTAATCTTAAATTTATAAGCTTATCAAATATCAAAATTTAGCTTGAATGAGGAGATTCCTATTGCATGCAGGCTGCAATAGCTGTGTTCTTCTCAAATACTTGTAAAGTTGTTAGAATCGGAGAGGATGGCATGATTTTAGAGTTATTGAAGGAAGCTTTTCTGTTAATTCACACTACGCACTTGTTAGAAGTGATCTTGGCAGTTGGCAGCTCATTATCCATAGGCCCAGGGTTGGAGCATGCTTTTTTTATTTGGAGAAAGATGTTGGCCTCAATATCCACTATCGGTGTCATATGTAGAAGAGGGAAGGAGTCGATTAATTACATTTGACTTTGTCATGATGTAGTATTGGAAATGTGATGATTACATATTTGCTACTTATTTAATCATGCAAGAACCTGTGCTCCAGTTGGAGAAGAATTAAGATTATATCTGAGCGGTGTGAGGAAGGCTTGGGAGGAGTGTCAAGTCTTCATGTTTGATATGATAAGTTGGAGATTGAGGAATTTCTGAATTTAACTGCTTACATGATACAGTAGAGCAAATTTGATCTAGGTCCTTGAGTGAACAAAAAGAGTTGAGACCTATTTAAAAATAATTCAAATTGAGGATCTAGTTATGCATCTTGGGAATTAGGTAATTACAATCTCCATTTAAATTTATTTTAAAATAGGCCATTGAGCTAATTTCTTTTCCCATTATGGTCTTATTCCAAAATTTCCCCATAAAATTATCATGGCTCTGTTTCTTGATGATAGAGAATTCTTATGAATGTTATTCTTCTTTATTGATTTATGAAACATTAATATTTATGATCCCAAAAGTTTAGATGGAGTTTTAAAATTGAGTTTTCTTCACCATTGCCTGCTGTATGTTCATGGTTTGTTTTGACCTATATTGTGAAGGTTATAACTTATTGTTCTAATAATATGAGAAATTTTCGTATTACACTCTTTTGTTTCATCAACATCATCTTCTTTTTCTTCTTCTCTCTCTCTCACTCTCTCTCTCACACACACACATCTTTCTTTTTCTTTTTCTTTTATTGGGGGTTGAATGAAAATGAAAGGATAGTAAGTATCAGGGGTAATATAGTTGACTAAGCGGAACTTGTTGCCCCTTTTGGATAGTGCTTCATTTTCAACATTGATATTAATATATAACTTACCATAGTAGCATCCAGTGGTTTAAACCAAGGTTCATATTTCTTTTACATGTACTTGTGTATGAAAAGGAAAAAAAAAAAATTAATGTAGCTTGTAGCGTTCAACTATAAAACATTGGATATTTATTGACATTGAGTTAATATCTTTTGATCTATAAGAACTATTTTCTGCTGCAGGGCAATTAGTGCTGGCTGCAGTTTCTCATTTTTGGAGGTTGTAGTTGAATGTGAAGTTGCAGACAATGGATCAACTTCTGAGCAAGTGATTGATGTAACTTTTAGTCCAAATAAGCAGACATTGTATTTACATTTGAAGAAATTTTTCCGTGGCACTCGTTTCACATATCAACCTTTTCTCAGAAGTCTACGGGAAAAGCATAAAGAAGGGGATATTGTATGTGTTAGTGGTAAGGTGAGTTTATAACTGTCTCTGTTTAGTTGCATTTTGTAGGACTTTTTTGTGGTTGCAGTTATATGACTTCTGATTGTGTAGAGCTTTATCTTGATCTGAGCAGCTTATTAATAAATATTGCAGCTGTTCAACCCAATCGGTCCACTTATTCCTTTGTAACATGTTCTTCCATTCCTTCCTGGTCTTGATTGAGAATAGTAATTGGTAGTCATAACTGGTGTCTTATTTGGATGATGTTGATGGTTGGAACTTGAAGGCATTATTTCATATGAACTTCTTCAGGTTGTTCACGACAGGATTTTTTTGAAGTAAATCCATTAGGGAGATGAGCTTTGAGGGGCTTGTGAGCTAATGGATATAACCTTTTGCAAAGATCCAAGTTGTTCTAGTGGTTGTTATCAGTCTTTTGCACTTCTTTTGCACTTATTTCTGGGCTTATATCACAAGATTACTTCAAGAGGAAATTATTATGATCTTATATAGCTATATTCATTTATGTTGTGTTTTGCCTGTATTCTCAAAATGTCCCATATCTTATGGGAAATATGAACTCCCTAGTTTGGTATACAAGTCTTAGCAAAAGATTCTAAATGAATTTGATATAGATGGTAGTAATGTATACGACTCAATTTAGCCCCATTAAGGTAAAAACTGAGAATATGGATAGGAAGGTGCGAAGAGAAAATAAAATTAAAGATTCGGTTTTTCTCATTATCTTGTTTGTATAGCTGTTATAAGGCAGCTTATGTAGTTAGCAAGGGGTATTTTTGTAATTTGATTTATGCTATGAATAAAGATGTATATAATCATAAGAGTCTCCAAAGACACAGTTTTGTGTTCCAATACACCTCTCTGTGTTCTTCCTTCTCTCTAGAGGAAACCCTAAATCCACATTCAATCCTTCTCTCTCTCCCTCCCCCCTTCCTCTCTCTCTCTCTCTCTCTATCTATCTATCTCTTTCTTTTCAACTATAGTAATGTGATAAAAGGTGAGAAGTGAGAGTGTACCAAATTCTTGTCCTATTTTAATTTGCATTATTGAGTTTGGATGAGTAATTTTGATAATACAAAATTTTGTTAAAGGGTTGGATTCTTTTCTAGCCAAGACAACCATTCTTGGTTAAATAACCATTTGATATTTTAGGAAAATTTCCTCAATCTAAACATGACAACTCTCACTATTTCTTACCAATCACTCCATCCAAATGCACTCTAAATAAATTATTCTGGTAGAAAAATAAGGACTGGTTGCCGCACAGTATTTGAGTTTCTTTGTTCGTTTTTTCTTTACTTTTCTCTTTCCATTAGAATTCTTTTTGTATTAATAGATACCTTCTGTCACAGTTTTGGTCTAAGAGACATAGAAACTGACGTGTTTCATGTTGTACACAATATGGAGACATGGAAATGGCAATTTTGAAACAATGCAGGAAGCATTATAGGGACATGGGCATGGCCATAAAATAAATATATGCTACTTATATAAAATCCAAAACAAATATAAAATGTACAATTTTATATGCAAATTGGTCACCACTTAAAAACTCCAGACTGAAGGGTCCCAAAAGTGTCAATTTTTGGATATGCATTTTTGCTGTGTATTCTTTTGTGGTTGGAGGGAAAAGATTAAATAAAGTATGAGATACATCTGCATGCATGTTCAACATTTGAAGTTTCCCATGCATGCTAGTGTCTGACATGGACACTTGCACCTTCCATATTTCGTGGATTTTGGATCACTATAGTGTTTCGTTACTTTCATTGGAGTGGTCAGATGCGACTTTATTTTTATTTTGTAACTAGGTTTTTGCCTTACCAAAATATTCAGCAATGCAATTCACCCATATTCCAGCAATTGCTGTGTGATTTATTATTGCTATTATTATTTTTTTTCATTGTAGCAGCAAATTTAAGTTGATATTTAGTTCAAACAATCTGCTTTATGGCTGTTTACATCACGTTAGCGCCTCACATTTTTAGTTTCTAAAGTTCCGAGAATAAACTAAACTGCCTAATATGATAGGATTGATGGATTCTTCTTTGGAGTATTTTACAATATTAGTTAATGGATGGTGAGGCTGCATTTGAGATCCATTCTTGTACGTCTAACAACTTGTTGTGCCTAACTATCTAGCTAAAATGGTTTAGCCAAGTTGTTTATTAGCTGTCTACTTAGTCTTAAATCAAAGGCAACATTTTCATCCTCTATGTAGGTCAACTTGCGCAATCAAGAGGTGGTGAGTTGTGTTTCTATTAACTTTTGCCTCAATGCACTTTACTAAACATGAGATGTGCAAAGAATGTAGAACAACTCAGAAAACATATGAGAGACAAAGTGGAGAGAGAACAACCACAAATGATTTGGCCTGAACATTGGAAAGTTTTCATTTTGTCCTCCTTCTCAAGGCACACCCTCGGACTTCTTGACTACGAACTATTAGTGGAACGACTGAACTGTATTGATTGTGTGTCAATTTATGAGATTTCATCTTTGAACTTATGATCTAAGACTGATGAAACCAATATTAGATTTTCAAGATAAAATTGATTCATAACATTTAATAAATTGACTTATGAAAACAATATGTTGCATATGGGTAAGTTAAGTTGACTAATGTTGTTATACGGTTCTCCTTGTAGTAATGGACTGGAAAACACTTAAGTAAGTGGTCTATATAATTTGAAATTTGTTTGAAGTCATTTTTAGTGGTTTTCTAAAGCTTAAAAATGTTTTCAACGTAGGAACTTTGGAAAATTTTCATTCTGTCCTCATCCGCAAAGCACCTTGGAGTTCTTGACTATGAACTAATGGTAGAACAAGCACAAACTAGGTTGTGCAGTGAATAGATTGCAAGTCAATTTAAGAGGTTTCATCTTTGAACTTATGATTTAGGGGTGATGAAACCAATTTTAGATTTTCAAAATAAATTTTGACTTATCATATTTAATAATTTGACTTATGAAAACATTATGTTGCACATGGATGAGTTAAGTTGAGTCAGTTGTAATATACTTATGGTACTGAACTGGAAAACACTTCGAATAGCTGTCTATATTATATGACTTTTGTTTGAAGTCAGTTTTGGTGGTTCACTAAAGCATAAAAATGTGTTTGACACAGTAGTTTCAGGAGAGATAAGTTGTCTTATTCCTGAATCCAATTTGACTTTCTCAGGGAATAAGATTTGTTTTGAGAGGAGGAAAACTGTTTTTCTTTCTCTTTAAGGCTATTATGAGGAACATAAATAAAAGTCAGCTTTGGGCCTTTGGCTTGAGCCATTACAACTTGACAACCATAATTGGACCATTATTACAAAATTAGTTGTTTTGTTATTATCAAAATCATTGCTTGTCCACCATTCATAGAGAATTTCTGCTTATGTTTTGCCTCCTGGATCTAGGTGAGGAGTATGCGTATGAAAAATCACTATGAAATGAGGGAATATAACTTGGATGTACTTGAAGATGGACAAGATGTATCGGCTCGTACAGAGGGGAGACCATACCCTATATATCCTTCAAAGGGAGGCCTTAAACCAAACTCACTTAGGGAAATAATTTCAAGGTTTGTGCCTTCTATCTATGTAATGAATTCGTTAATATTCATGTCATATGCAGCATCTTTATGAGGATCTACTTGCAAGAAAGCTACTGATGATAGACACAAATGTTAGGCTGCTTTTTCCTTGTTTGATAAGCCTTGTATGTATCTGAATCAAATCCCAGAACCTCTTCCTTCTCCTTTCATCTATATATTATGGGATGTTAAGAATATAATATGCATTTTGATTCAAAATTCATATTTTTTTGGTCTTTTGACCTGGTTCTTAAATGGTAAAATCATCAAATTATCATATTGGGTAGAGTATTCTTAAACATAACCACTTACAGATAGAATATATGTTTAAAGCACAATCAGCTGTAAGTTGGATGTCAAGAAGACATTAACGAATCCTTGTTCGTTTTTCATTTTCTTTTGACCTGATTCCTGTTTACTAGTTGGGAATCATGTTGGACATCATTATGCATTCTTGTGATGAATCTCATTAATTTCCTAAGCTTCTCCTACTTATTATAATTTTGTTTCATCACTACTCTCCATGACACCTTGTCCATGCACGGTTACTGTTTGTGGTCCTTGTGGCATGTGGAGTACAATTCTTTGTCTGGAAATGTTAGTGTTTTCTTTTTTGTTATTGCACTGTCTTCTATTCTCTTGTTAAGTGTTGTTAATCATTTATTCATTAATTGTTTAACCAATTTATTCTTTAGCCTATATTTATTTATTTATGTTTCTGATTGTCAGAGCTTTAAAAGTTTTGCCTGTTAGCGTTGATCCCATTCCTCAAGATGTCACTCAGGATTTTGGACTTGTATGCCTTAAAGATGTAAGTAGCATTTTAAGGTTTCCTTGACATATACTTCTGTTGTTCATTATTCATGTTATCTTAGTTGTGGATGACTGAAGACCTTCTTTTCGTATTATTCTTTCCATTTTCATTTCAGTTAAGAAGTGGGAGTGAGACTAAAAAATGAACAGGTCAAATTAAATTGAATTGATCTTTGTTTTAACTTGTCTCTAAATTCTTGTGCCCTCGATATATTTTCAACTGGACAATACTTCTCAACATCCAAAGCATGATTGGTAAAGTGATTGTTTCCTATGTTCTATACTCAAGATGTGGATTATTCATAAATAGGTTTTCTGTAAATATGTTATGCTCACATTTAGTTGTGTCTTACATATTCTTGAGCAAAACAGTGGGGGAGATAAAGAGTTGTAAATATTTCTTGCATGATAATGTGTTTTTATTTTTGTTTCCAAATATGATATCTGATCTGTAATTTGTTTTCTACCTAACATTGGAAGAATGTCACAGTTATCTTCTTCTTTTTTTTTTTTTTTTTTTTTTTTCCTTTCCCCTGATGAGTTGCAACAACTCTTACCTATGGTTTGTTTCTTGTCTCTGGTCAATCTCATATCAACAAGTCATTAACTTCTTAGTTTCAGACAATGTATGATAATAAACAAAGAGCACAATAATCTGGTCAGTACATCATCAAGGTTCCGCAAATATTGACTCTTGAGGGATCTTCTTCCTTCTCTTTTTGGGGGCTGGGGATGTGATTTGGTTTAGTTAATTGCTAATTTTCGTAATTTTGGATATTCGATGTGCCATGTTGAACCCAAGTTGTCACTACACCAATTGATACCAGTAAACATGCAATACTCAAATTTAGTTACTTCGGTAAAAATAACCAACTAACTGTTATTAATATATCCTTTCAGTAATGCATAACATTCTTTACAAAATGATCTATGCCTCTGTGCTTAGTAAGTACCATACTTAACAAACCTTTTTTTCGGTATCTTGAAGTAGTTAAATGCTATGTATGGTCTAAATGGTGACAAAGGAATCATGCAAGTAAAAACTGTATTATGGGGTAATAACTTAATCATGTGCATAAAAAATTCAAAAAAAAGAGTGGGCACCAACTCTTTTTTCATTTAACCATGTGTGATTGGACAGATAATAATTGGAGATCTGGGTTCAAATTCTGCAACAAATAAAAAATAGTGGACCTACAACATCTAAAAATTTTAAATAACTGAAACTAAAAGGGCATGAACATTTTGAAAAATAATACTCTACTTTTTATTAGGTGGATGGTTTGAAGTGTGAGGAGAGAAGTCCCAGACAGGGTATTGTTTAGTTGCAAGAGTTAAAAGCTTGATCTTCTTCCAATTGTCTTGGAAGCATTTCCATGATAAGCCACTGGGACATTCATCCCAACTGCTTCCAAGATAGTAAAATATTGCTTAATTAATCAAATAAAGCTAAGATTTTACCAAATGATTTTTATCTTGAGGTTTTCAGTCTTGGGTTTTGTTATCAGAGCAGCTAGCTAGTCATCTTAATCTCCGCTGTAAATTTTGAAATAGGCTTCACTTGAATTGTGTGTTCTATATTACATCTATCTACTGGTAGCTCTGTATCATTTTCTGAGCAAACTAGGTATAGATCTCAGCATCTCAAGATAGAATTTTTAATTATTTATCTTATGATTTTCATTTTCATATTTTATGTCATCAATGCAAGCAATAAGAACAGTAATGCTGAAGTGTGCTATATAAAAATAGCAATATTGCTAAAATATGCTATATGAAAAGAGTTACACCTAAACTGTTATCTTAATATCTCAAACCCATCTCTTAAGACTGCTTCAACACATTTGGCTTTCGTGGACTTGCCTACTTCATAATTGGAACATATGTGCTTTCCTACTGTTGTTGTTGTCTGTTCCTTCTTCTTGTTGATACTTGCCTGGTTAGTGAAATTATGTTGATGAAGTCTATGACCTAATGATGCCCTTTGTATCCATAAAATGCTGATGATGCCTTTGTTTTAACATAAGTATTGCTGACCAGGAACTTACGAATCACTAAATGCCTATTTGTGCATAAGCTCTTTAGAATTGGGATGCTTGTCTACATGTTATGTCTGTATTTATTGTTTTGCCAGTCCTTAGTTACATTTTTCAGCACATACACTGACATGGTTTCGTTAGCGATGCAGGCATATTTTGGGATTCACCAGCCGAAGAGTTTGAATGAGGCTGATTTAGCTCGAAGAAGGCTTGTATTTGATGAGTTTTTTTATCTTCAGGTAATATATACCTTGTGTAGGTGTTCTCAAATTCTTGAACTTTTTTCACATTGTTCAGGTAGTATTGGTCTGAAAATGAAGTTTTTACTGATCTCAAGTTTATCATTGTGCATATGATTGGTTTTCTTTATTGAATTAACACAATAGGTAGACTCCTGGTCAACCTTTCATTTAACTTGCATATCATTACTAACTATTGATACTTTCAAGGTCTAGTTTGGGCTTTTGATGTTCCTATTTTCTACCCATTACATCATGGATCTTGAATGGCATTACACCTCTGGAGTTTGCATATGTATGCATTGATTATCTTTTGAAAAGTTATCTACATGTGTATATGATAAGGAATATGGTTTAGAACCTGCATAAAAGTAAGCAAAACAAGAAGCAAAAGTGCAGTAGAAGAAGTGCAAACTCAATTGCAAGAAGGCAGTCTCAAATCCTAAGCTTCACTCATCCAGGAAATAGTGCCTCACTGTGAGATTACATGTACTAGAGCTTAGAAGAGCTAAGATAAATTCTCACTGTTAAAGATAAAAACAACTAAGTAAATCAAAATAAATCCTAAAATAATTTTTGACAATTTTATGACTCTTGTTACTTAGCCATTAGTCTTGTTCTTCTAACATTTTTGAACTTTGAGTTTACCTTCCTTTTCTCTGTTAGAATGATCATAATATTTTATAGCATGTCTCTTTTGCTCTTATACTAGTCTTTCATTTTGTATGTACGGTAAGTAGAACTTAAACTAGGCAGTCGGATCTTCAAAGGGAATTGATGAAGCTACCTCTGAATTTAGCTAAATAATCATAATAGCTTTATGACCTTTCTAGTAATTTCTTTCTCAGTTGTTTCATATTGCATTTGTTTCTGTTCACCATGTATGTGCTCTCCTCTACCCATGTGTCTTCCTGCTAAGATCCTAATATCTTTTGCTTCTTTAAGGAATAAATTTTCTCTTTTTCTTGGTGGCCAAGTAGGAGGGATTATGTAGTAACGAATCTCTAGGCTAATGTATAATACCTCTTAGCCAAAAGAAGCCTTTAGTGTTACTGAAGAAGGTTGCAACCAGATTAATTAGGGTGATTTGCATAATTTAACGCATTAATATTTCATATCCAGTATGTGAGGTGAAAATCTTCGTTAATCTTCTAATATTAGACTCTCTCTTTAATTTTCTATTGTTGTCCTGCTCTGTGATTATGAAAACAAATTTGATGAGAAGGTAAACATCTATGTTTGAGTCTGATGAGAGAACGACAAAACTAGCAAGGTTCTTTTGCTCACTTCTAGTTTAAGTTATGCTGAAGTTGAGATTCCTATAGCAAATTCTGATGTTATTTTAAATTTTTATATTTATGAACTTATATTGACCCAGATGTCATTTTGTCAGTTGGGCCGTTTGTTTCAAATGCTTGAGGGTCTTGATACACATTTAGAGAAAGATGGACTGTTGGATAAGTACAGAAAGCCAGAATTGAATGCTGTATTCATGGAGGAATGGTCTGCTCTCACGAAGAAGTTTATGAAGGCTCTTCCCTATTCACTTACTCCAAGTCAGCTAACTGCTGTTTCAGAGATTATATGGGATCTTAAACAGCCTGTTCCCATGAATAGGCTTTTACAGGTTTTTGATATATATTTTTCCTGCTTTACAATGTATTATATAATTTGTAATTCATAACTGGCAAGAAGTTTTCATTCCTGGATTGAACTTCTGAAATTATATGGATAGTATGATACATGGTGGCTTGTGTTGGTGTTTCAGATTTTTGTTGCTATGCTTTTAGTATGAGGAATGTGGTACTTATCCCTACACTTTGTTGCCTGTGGGAGCATTTCTTTACTTGCTGATGACACATTTTTTGTTTATACCAATTAGTATATATTTGTGATGAAAAATTTTGTAAATTATTTGTTTGAAACAATTAGATTTTCCAAATATCTGAGTGTGTAGAATTTTTGTCTATTATAGTGAATGACTTTTTTTTTTTTGTGGCTGATATCTTTTTAGTGATATTCCTACATTGCTTCTTCCCAGGGTGATGTTGGGTGTGGCAAAACTGTGGTAGCTTTTTTAGCATGCATGGAAGTTATTGCTGCAGGCCATCAGGTGGGCAGTTTGATATTTGTGAATATAGAAGGGAGAAAAATAACTATATATTTAATCATCTTGGTAGTACATGTCTATATACACTTCATAGCAAAAACAAATGTCCACATTATTCGATGTGGGATACTAATACTAACTTAACATAAGACTATTCCAACACTCCCCTCAAGCTAGAGCATATAAGTCATATGTACCAAGCTTGTTACAAAGAGATGTAATCTGAGGACCTCTGAGAGATTTAGTAAAGATATCTGCTAGCTGATCAGCAGAATTGACAAAAGCAATGGAAATGTATCCAGACAAAATCTTCTCTCTAATGAAATGACAATTAACTTCTATGTGTTTGGTCCTTTATGAAACACAGGGTTAGAGGCAATATGTAAGGCGGCTTGATTATCACAGATTAACTTCATTTGTCCAACCTTTCCAAACTTCTATTCTTGAAGTAACTGCTTTAACCAAATTAGTTCACAAGTTGTCAAGGCCATAGCACGATATTCAGCTTCAGCACTTGACCTCGCAACAACATCCTGTGTCTTACTTTTCAGGAAATCAAATTACCTCCAATCAAAATACAATATTCCGAAGTAGATCGTCTGTCTGAAGGAGAACCAGCCCAATCTGCATCAGAATATTCAATTACTTGAATGTGTCCTTTATCTTCATACAATAATCCTTGACCTGATGTTCCTTTAATATACCTGAGAATACGAATCACAGCATTCCAATGATTGTCACATGGAGATTGTAGGAATTGACTTACTGTACTGACAGCAAACGAAAGATTTGGTCGAGTGATGGTTAAGTAATTAAGTTTTTCCACTAATCTCCGATATCTTTCAGGATCTGCAAGAGGCTCCCCTGTCCGGGAAAGAGTTTGACATTCAAATCCATAGGAGTATCAACAGGTTTATAGTCCAACATACCAGTTTCGTCAAGTATATCCAAAGCATATTTACGTTGGGAAATAACAACACCTGAATTGGATTGAGCCACCTCTATCCCGAGAAAGTATTTAAGTCGACCCAAATCTTTGGTCTGAAAATGAGTAAAAGGGTGTTGTTTGAGCTGCTGAATACCCTCTTGATCATTCCCAGTGATGACAATATCATCAACATAAACAACAAGAAAGATACATGTACTGTGTGATCCATGACGATAGAAAACCGAATGATCAGCTTCACTTCGAATCATGCCAAACACTTGAATGACTGTACTAAAGCGACTAAACCAAGCCCTTGGAGACTGTTTTAAACCATAAAACGAGCGTTGAAGTTGACAAACCAAACCAGACTCCCCCTGAGCAACAAAGCCAGGCAGTTGCTCCATGTAAACCTCTTCCAGTAACTCACCATGAAGAAAAGCATTTTTGATGTCCAACTGATAAAGAGGCCAGTGATTTATAGCAGCAAGAGAGAGAAATAACCATACGGAGGCAATCTTGGCCACAGGAGAGAAGGTGTCACAATAATCTAAGCCATAAACTTGTGTGTATCCTTAGCAACCAAACGGGCTTTAAGGCGATCAACCTGTCCATCCGGGCCAACCTTGATAGTATATACCCATCGACATCCAACAGTAGATTTTCCAGAAGGAAGAGGTACTAGATCCCAAGTACCATTAGAATGTAAAACAGTCATTTCATCAATCATAGCTTGTCGCCATCAGGATCAGAAAGTGCCTCAATAGTAGTCCGAGGAACAGACACAGATGATAAGGTGGAAATAAGGGAATAATAGGAAGGGGACAGATGATGATAACTGAGAAAAGTATAAATAGGATAGGGATTCTTGGTGGAGCGAACACCTTTCCGAAGAGCTAGTGGTGGAGAAGTGGCTGTAACCTGGTCCGTGGTACGAGGAGATGTTGGCGCAGCAGGGGAGTCCAATGGAACCTATTCAATATCGGTAGAGGGAGGATGAGGTCGATGACTATAGACTTGTAGAGGACGAACTGGAGGTGGAGTTTCTTGAGAAGCATGAAGAGGAGGACTTAAATATGGAATGGGAAGAATGTGAGAAATAGAATCCGGATCTGACACAGTAGTAAAGTATGGAGAGGGCTCTAAAAAGGTGATATCAGCAGAAATGTAAAAGCGTTGGATAGTAGGAGAATAACATCGATGCCCTTTTTGGACTCGAGAATACCCTAAGAAAACACATTTGGTGGACCAAGCAGAAAGTTTATCCTGTCTAGGAGCTAAGTTATGAACAAAACACACACAGCCAAAGACACGAGGAGATAGAAGATACATAGATTGATTTGGAAAGAGAATGGAGAAGGGAATTTGGTGCTGTAAAACTGAAGAGGGCATGCGGTTAATTAGATAGCAGGCTGTAAGAACAGCGTCGGCCCAAAAACGAAAGGGAACATTATGATGGAGTAAGAGAGTATGAGCTGTTTCAATGAGATGGCGGTTCTTGCGTTCAGCTACACCATTTTGTTGTGGTGTATGAGCACAAGAAGATTGATGAAGAATACCCTGAGAAGCCATGAAGTCAATAAAAGAAGAAGAAAAATATTCACAAGCGTTATCATTGCGTAAAACACAAATTGAAACATTGAATTGAGTTTTTATTTCAGCACAAAATTCTTTGAATACAGAAAACACTTCAGAACGATTTTTCAATAAATACAACTAAGTACATCGAGAATAATCATCGATAAATGTGACAAAATACTTAAAACGTAGGACAAAGGGAATATGACTCGGACCCCAAATATCTGAATAGACTAATTCAAAAGGAGACATAGCCCTATTATTGACTCGCTTGGGAAACGAAACACGTGATTGTTTACCAAGTTGATACGACTCACACTCTAAAGATGACAAATATGAAAGACTCGAAACCATCTTCTGTAGTTTTGAAAAACTTGGATGTCCCAATTGATTATGAATAAGAGTGGCAGATTCGGTAGACATGCAGGCAACTGAGGAAGAAGGTAGATCAATGTGATAAAGTCCTTGAGACTCACGCCCTGCACCAATCATCTATCCCGTGCCACGGTCCTGTACAATAACAGAATCATTCAAAAAGGTTACTAAACAATTCAGAGCACGTGTCAACTTACTAATTGAAATAAGGTTAAAAGGATAACTAGGAACATACAAAACAGAATCCAAGTTTAATGAAGGAAAAAGTGAAGCTTGTCCAATGCCTTTGGCCATAGTTTTGGTACCATTAGCTAGGGTCACATATGGAAGGGAAATAGAGTAAGTAAGATGAGAGAAAAGATGTTGATTACCAAATATGTGATCAGAAGCGCCAGAATCAAGAACCCATGATCCAAGTCCAGATGACTGGGTAAGACAAGCAACAGAATTACCAGTATGAGCAATGGAAGTAGAAGGTTGTTGAATGGCTTTATAACAGAGATAATCCTCATATTCTGATGCTTTTATAACAATAGTGCTAATTGTTCCTCTGAAGTAGATTTAGAATCATAATGATCACTTTGAGCGACATTAGCAGTGCGTGGTGGTCGTCCATGTAACTTGTAGCATTCATCCCTAGTATGTCCCAACTTCTGATAGTAACTACACTTAAGACGATTATTCCGAGCATTACCAGTACCCCTACCACCTATTTGTTCCCCCCTAGGATTAGTTTGAGAGGCTAATCCAATAAGCTCAATCGAAGGATGTGCAGACAATGGATTGGTAGAAGTATGCGAAGTAACCGAGCACCGAGATCATCTAAAGAGGGAACCACTGAATCAGCAAGGATTTGATCTCGAACAGAAGCAAGCTCAGGACGAAGAGCAGTCAAACCAAGTACCATGATTAACTTATCTATCTGTGTTGACTGGTCAGCAGTATCCTATATAGTCAAGAGAGAATTTAACTCCTGTTTGATAGATTGAAGCTTTCCAACAAAGTCAGACATATCATCATTTTGCTTTAAACTAACCATATTGGTTACCACGGTAAAGAGACGTTGAATGTCATTCATATAAAGTGACTTGGTCTTAAACCCAAATCTCATAGCAAGTATCATATGCTTGATAGATACTACTGTTGAGTTTAGGATCAATTGATTGCAACAATAAATTACATAAGAGTGCATCAGTTCTCTGAAACGCAGTCTTTTCATTAGTAGATACTGTCTCAAGTTTAGATGTCAAATGATGCTCATAACCTTGACCACAAAACCATAATTTAACAGATCTTGACCATGCAATGTAATTAGAACTCCCTACTAATTTTTCCGAGGTAATTGCAGGAGTAGGAGTAATTATAGGAGAAAAAGTAGCAGACCTCGATGATGATACACCTCCAGATGAGACTTGAGAACTTGAAACTTGAGAACCTGAATTGCTCATGATGTCAGCTGGTAGGATGGATCAGCTGTTGGAGAGGGAACCTGTCAGAAGAATCGGGTCAACCCAGAAGCCTCAGTAGCTTCAGTGGTTCAGAACCTGAACTGCAGTCGGGTCAGTGGGGGCAACATGAACTGCAGTCGGGTTAGTGGTCTAGGAGACTCCAGAAGCTTCAATGGGAGAAGCTAGGAGCCGTGGGTGCCTCGTCCAGCACCGGCGACCAGCAAGAAGGGAGGTTCGGCTTCCACGCTAACCGCAGTTCGTACAAGATTCGTCAGGCACTGTCGGTCAGCAAGAACAGAACTGTAACTCACACCAGGTGAGCCGACCGAATTCCAACGAGAGATCCACACAGCCCGCACGACGTTACAGTCGAAGACCACTGGTTAAATCCGACAGTAATGGATCTGGACCAAGAAAGTGGATCTCGGGTTGCGACCGGCGTCGGAAATTGCAGTATATGGTTGAATCTGCCCGGAAATAGGGATCCGACGTCGGTAGAAGAAGAACAGACTAGCAAGGGGTGGCGCGTGGGGGTCGCGCACCGGAGAACCAGACTGCTCGGCGGCGCGTGGCGTCTCCTACGGCAATCCTGTCTTGACAGGTAGCTTCCAACGAGAACTACGAGCAAGGATATGGGTTGAGTTTCAAAGTTCGGAGACAGTGAAATGCCGTCAAATGAACAGTGACGGCTTTGAAAGTTGAGTCACTGCTGGAAGGAAACACAGCAATGAAAGAAGAACCAGGGATTTGGCTCTGATGCCATGTGAATATAGAAGGGAGAAAAATAACTATATATTTAATCATCTTGGTAGTACATGTCTATATACACTTCATAGCAAAAAACAAATGTCCACATTATTCGATGTGGGATACTAATACTAACTTAACATAAGACTATTCCAACAATATTCATTCTTGAAATTGGCTATTAGTGCTTGCCTAGATTACAGATTTGAGAATCCTCTGCTTTTGTTTTTGGTTTCGTCCCTTTTTTTTTAAAAAAAAAAATAATAATAGCATTTCAGCATGTTGCTGTTTACTTATTAGTTTGACCCCTGCTATAAAAAAAAAAAATGATAGCATTTTCAGCATGTTGCTGTTTACTTTATTAGTTTGACCCCTGCTATATAGTTGATGTGATATGAAATGCAAATTCTGATTGTTGGATAGCTTGATTATTTCTAGGCAGCTTTCATGGTTCCAACTGAGCTGCTTGCTGTCCAGCACTATGAGCACTTTCTTAACATGCTAGAGAATATGGGAGAGGTCAACTGTAAACCCTCTGTTGCTTTGTTAACAGGGTCAACCCCATCAAAACAATCACGGATCATTCGTGAGGCATGTATTGCAATGCAGCAGTTTATAAATTGTCGATTATATCATTTTAAATTTTTTATTTTCTGTCCTGGATGACAGGGTCTTCTGGCTGGTGATATCTCAATGGTTATTGGCACCCACAGTTTAATAGCAGAACGTGTAGAGTTCTCATCTTTACGCATTGCAGTGGTAGATGAACAACATCGATTTGGTGTGATCCAGAGAGGAAGGTTTAACAGTAAGGTGGTTTACCTTTCGCAATCACGAGTCCAAGATATCATTTCTTCTGAAGATGTATAAAAAACTTGTTCAGTATTGGATCTTTATTTTCCGTACTGCAAATATGTTTATTTTCAAGGGAAAAATAGAATGGGGGATGACAAATATTTGAACAAGGAAAGTAGACAGCTCTAAGATTTTCTCAGCAGCACCCTTGTTTGCCCAAATGATTTCTTTTTTAATGGAAAAGAGAATACAGGACAGATGTTCGAACAAGGAGGAAAGCCAACAGCTTTAAATATTCTCAACTGCTTCCTTTTTTGCACAAATGAGTTCTTTTTTAATGGAAAAGAGAACACAGAATGATAGAACATATGAACAAGGAGGAAACCTAACAGCTTAAATATATTCTTACAGCACTTTTTTCCATGAATCTTGAGTTCATAATCACTGCTTATCAACATAAGCTGCCTCATTTCTAGATCTTTGTGCCCAATCATCATTCTTGCTCAAAATTCTTTGGGAAGGTTCCTGCTATCTTCTATTATTAGTTGAATGCAAAAATGAAAATTTGTACCATTTCTTTTCAATTGTTACCGAGTATTTGTGGATTTCATCCTGTCCATGTTATAGGCTTTGTGAAATTTACGCTGAAATAATTTACACTGCCATCCAATTACTCTTACTTTTTTCTCCTGCTTCATGTTCACATGTTTTAACTTTAATAATTAATTTTTCAATGAAAAATATGAATAAGATGTTGTTTTATTGTCTTGGATAGTATGTCACTGGTTTAATTTTTCCAGCACCAATTGCTTCCTTGTAATTTTGTAAGAAAATAATCCTATAATCCTTGGAGTTATGGTTTCCTTATATCATGCATTTATTTTTTTCTGAGTTGATTGGAGCTTTTGTACCCTTTAGCTATATTTCAACTCTACAAGTTCAAGAATGGGCACAGCTAGTTCACATAGCTCTTTGAAAGGTGATATCCATATGGCTCCCCACGTTCTTGCTATGTCAGCCACTCCAATCCCGAGGACACTTGCTTGGCTTTGTATGGAGACATGTCCCTGACACAAGTATGTTAAATTTGCTTTCTTACTTTTGTATGCATTCTTATGCTATATAGATTCTTCTTGTATCCCAAAATACATATAATGTTACGTATTATGTAATTTTTAGGCAATGATACAAAACTTGCAGTCAAATCAATACCCAACTAATGAAATAAGTGGGACTCTTCATGATATCAGGATGGCCTGGATGTTTGTGTCTTTAACTCCTCTGCTGTGGTTTTTTATTTCGTGTTTTATGTTTTTGATTTGAATGGGTATGAAGCCTAGAGAAGGGCTTTGGTTTTAGGATTATTTGGTGGAATTTATCAGTAGGAATGATGTAACTAGGCCATTGATGCTGCTTCTTTTTGGGATTTTATTAGGGTGAAGTTACACTTATGGATATATTAGCCAATGTTTTCGTCTTACATAATCTATGGTACTATAGAAAAGTCACTCTCTTTGTGTTTTTATCCTCGTGTTCTCTACAACTTTTATGAACTTCGGCACACTCTCTGCCTATACCTCTCTTATTTTATCTATTTCCACATAATTAGTGCTGTAGAAGGTTCTATATAATGAGGTCTGATAGAGTACACAGACATAGGATTTGAGAGTAATAGCGTCGCTCTGGCTTCAATTTGACAGAAGTTCAAATGTTTATGGAGTTAAGTTATATTTGATGTGGTTTAACTGAGCACAGAGATACAGGATTTGAGAGTAATATCTTTTTTCTGGCTTCAATTTGGCAGAACTTCACTTGTTGCTGTAGTCAAATAACATTTTCAGTTACATGTAACATTTGTTGCCATTAGTTTCAATGTGCAGTGGCAGCTTCATCCTCACATATTTCTGTTGTTTCGTAAAATGACAGATAACTGATTTACCCCCTGGGAGATTGCCAATTGAAACATACAGCATTGAAGGAAATGAAAGTGGCTTTGAGAGAGTCTATCAGGTGTATTAACATTTTCTTATCTATCGAGTATTGTAATGTATTATTATTCCATACAAGGTTACTTTTATAATTTTATTCTTTTATATAGAAAGGTAACTGTGCTCATTTATTGTATAGAAGGAATATTATCACATTTTACTGTTCTTTTTTATATATGAAGAATTGAGAAAGAAGATTCAATTGATTTTCTCACTTCTCACTATAACAAGTAATTACATAGGTATTTATATACAAAATTGAAGCCTAACTAGGTAATATACAAAAAAGGTAATAGAATAAAATCACTATAAAAAATTTGCGTAATTGCTATAAATTAGGGTCTAAAAATCTGCCTAAATTTCAAAAAATTAGTCAATAATATATAAGACGAGAGCTATCATAACCAGATCAGAAATCAAACTAAGAAAGACACTGATTTGCTGTTTGTCAGTTTGGCTGGTGTATATGTAGATTGTAGCTATCATAATTATTTATTCTCTACTTATTGTTCTCTCTCTCCCTCTCTCTCTCTCTCTCTCTCTCTCTCTCTCACACACACACACACACACAAAGGAAAGAAAGAAAAATTCTTTACAATCTATTTCACTCCTTAGCCTATGAATGAAGCTTTACCTCTTCCAAGTTGGAGAGTTGCCATAGAAGTGGATGAAAGGTCCTGTAATCAAATTTGATTGCCAACCAGTTTAAAAATTTCCACAAATTGGCCCATTCATGATTAAAAAGTTACCCCTTTTATAATTTTTCATGGATGAGCCCATTTATTGTTAAAACTTAAAAGTATGGTCACATGTGGGGAGTGTTAAGGATAAAATTTATTGCAGCAAATCTAACAGTAATGATGTAGCTGTGCTGAATGTGTTGGCATGTTGTAAGGTTTAAGTTTATTGCAGTTCTTCTAAAGTTGACCATTAGTTTTGCTTAACTTTCTGATTTTCTTCCACACCGTTATCTGACATAAATAATTTATTTAGATGATGTTAGAAGAGCTAGAATCTGGAGGAAAAGTATATCTAGTGTATCCTGTTATTGAACAATCTGAGCAACTGCCTCAACTTCGTGCTGCTTCAGCCGATCTTGAAATGATATCCACTAAGTTTGAAGGTTACAACTGTGGCTTGTTGCACGGAAAAATGAAGAGTGATGAGAAAGATGATGCATTGAGACAGTTTAGATCTGGGGCAATCCAAATACTGCTTTCGACTCAAGTAATAGAGATTGGTGTGGATGTACCCGATGCATCTATGATGGTTGTTATGAATGCTGAAAGATTTGGAATTGCTCAACTACACCAACTTAGAGGACGAGTAGGGCGTGGAGCAAGGAAGTCCAAGTGTGTTTTAGTGGCATCTACAGCTAGTAGCCTGAACCGGTTGAAGGTGCTGGAGAAATCATCAGATGGTTTTCACCTAGCAAATATTGACCTCCTTGTACGTGGTCCTGGTGATTTGCTTGGTAAGAAACAATCAGGACATCTTCCAGAGTTTCCTATTGCCAGGCTAGAGATAGATGGAAATATCATTCAAGAAGCACATCTTGCAGCACTGGTAAATATTTTTTTTCTATTCCTCCAAATTGCATGTGTTTAGAAGCCTGGCGATGGATTTACTGTTTAGACTTCTAGTTATCTTTATTTTAGAATCTCCTATCTGAAATTTAATGCTTATATGTATCCAAATAGTTCGTATATATCAAAACCACCAGGGGTTGGGGGTTTTTTCTCTTTCTGGTCATCAACTTGACAGTCATGTGTGGGCATATTACAATCAGGAACTTGTGCATATAAATTTGCTGATAACCATTCTGGTGGGAAACATTTTATGTAAACATATCTATTAAGATTAGTTGCAATATTTTCTCTTATACACATTATCTTGTAACTTCTATAAATATTGAGATTCATGGTGATGGTTGCAATACTTATGTTTTGGATCACACTTGTGGAAAAATATATTGTCTGTACATTTGAGAATATGGTCCACTAATTAACACTTGTGTACACAATTAATTGTCAATATAATATATATATATATATACACAATACTAATTTGGTAGATGTCTGATTGTTAGAAAAAAATTTCTCTAGGAGTATGGTGGCTGTGATTATGTAACATCGTAGAGGCTAGCGAAAATAAATTTGGGCTTCCTTTCGTGATTCTTGTCTATGAATCTAACCTCTTTCATTTGGATGGTACCAAGGTCTTCTTTGATTTTGGGGACATAATTAGGTAATGAATTTTTTTCTGCTAAAGAAGGACTTCATCCGCAATGTGGATAATATCAGAGTGCAGGGTGGGAACTGGGAAGTGGTGCTAGATCCAGTCCAATAATACCAGTTTGACCTCACAAGTTTTGTTGGGTTTGCTTGACAAGGGACATTTTAAACTGAGTGGACATTGCTGAAATGAGAATTGCGACTGCATGCTACCTGGAGCCTGTAGCTTTGACTTGGGCCTATTTCTGAAAACTGCCTCAACCAACTCTCTCTCTGAATATAAGGCTTCTTAAAATAGATGACTATTGCTGAAAACCAAAGAAGGAATGAAAGAGTTGTATAACAAAATACTGTAAACATTCCTTCCCACGTTGACTTTGATCTACATGCCCTGTAGCTTCTTCTTCTTCTCCTTCATCCCTTTTGTTTTTGTTTTTTTTTTTTTTTTTTTTTTTAAGAGAAGAGCTCTAGAGACCAAGTGACTTTGAAAATTATCTTTTATATCATGTCTAGCAAAATAAGATAGATAAGAGAATTGCTTGAGGAGTTGTTTTGTTGAGCTCAAATTGAAATTTAATGAAGTTCTTCAGGAAGAAGGGTTTCTGTTCCCTTCCAATATTTTGTATATCAGCTTCCTCCATTCCTTTTGTTGGCCATAACATCTCATGTAGGAAATTTTCATGGCTAAAGCCATGTGTCTAGTGGCAGCAGTTGTTACTTGTATTGGAAATCGATGAAGAAAAATGGTCTTAGTTTTGGTCTTATCACCACATTGCTGAGAGAAGTGTAGCTTTCCTTCTTCATCATACACTTGAAAATAGGGAATCACTTGTGCTGGTAGGTAAGAGATATTCTTAACCCAAAAATAGTGAATGAGTATGCAAAATTACCGATAAAGGAAAAGTAAGCCCTTTTTTCTCTCTGGAGTTCCACAGTTGCCTTTCAAGATAGAGGGTGGGCACCTATGATCTGACGCTTTGTACAAAGATTGAAAACCAAAATTTATGAGAGTCATTATGAAGACAGGTCTAGTTTTATCGCAGTAGCGAATTGTCTATACCTACTTCCTCATAACTGTATCCCACAAGAAACATCAATCAAGGTTTAGAAGTTTGGTCAGCTTGCAGTAATTTGTTGCTAGAATGTAAATCGTAGCCTGCCTATCACAAATGATCCTTATTGACCTACAATTGGAAAACCATCTTGTTCAATTAAGGTCTCACTGATCTCTCACAAGCAATGTAAGCCATTAAGTCATGTTCAGCTTCTGCAGCCAACTTCAAATAATCTCGGTACTCCTTTTAAGAAATGTTTAATAGCAGAGGTACGAGGAACCAGATATAGATGTCGAACCAGGTTCTTCTCCTGTCCAATCAGCATATGGGAATACAAGAATTTCATGATGTTCAGATGGCCAATTCTAATGCAGTACCAAGAATTCCTTGTTGAGTGCTTCAAATTTGGCCTACAACATTCCAGTGTTGTTGTTTAGGAGAATTTTACTGTGCATTTGACTACCCTTAGGATGTTTGGTTAGCCATTGGATCTGAAAATTTTCGAAGCATATTTCATGAATGCATTTGGTCTATAAAATATCACTGTGCCAACTTCACTTTTTTTGGTGTGCACAAAGATGGCCCTGCATTGAAAGTGAAAATGCTCATGCTAAGTAATTTTCATGTCGTAATAAAATATATTCGACTTTTAAACTTATTTAACCAGTGAAGATAACATAATGTGTGATTTGCCTTTGGTTCAAGTTGGTTCCCTCGTACACCTTATTGAACATTTTTATTAATAATTTTTTTATGCAGAAAATTCTGGGTACTTCTCATAATTTGGAGAAATTCCCTCAACTCAAAGCTGAGCTTAGCATGCGACAGCCACTGTCCCTTCTGGGTGATTGAGCATTAACCATTATCATGTGAAGATAGTAACTGTTGACAGAAGACAACTGAGCCAAAGAAATCAAGTGGTATGTAATGCAGTTCCTTTCGATTGTGAATTCAACTCAAAACTGTTCTTTGTTGTTACATACATATACTGCCTGCCAACCCTTATATGTCCTAGTTCGAGGGTAAGTTTCATAGCTGTGCTTTGGCAAAATGTAAGGGGAAGAAAAAGGACAGTTGCAAGCCATTGTATATATTAAAGAGAATGGACTTCCTCATTTTCTTGTAAAGTTAAAAAGGAAAATTTGGCTTGTGAACTAATTTATTAGCCTGTGTTAGGGCTGTTAGAAGGTTGGATTTTGATCAAATTAAATATATCCAAATTCGAATTCGATTAATAATTATTATGTTTGAATACGATCTGAAATTTTATAGGAATTAGATAGATGATATGAAATTAGATAAAAAAATCTAATTTAACTAAAAATTAATCGTCTTTTGTATTTAAATCTATCAATTTTATTTTATTAATTATATTATTTTATAAATTTATTGATTTTCTTAATTTAATTATGATAATTTTGAATTTATTAATGTCATATATATGATATTATTAATTTACTTAAAAATTATTATTAAAATTTGAATTCAAATATTTAATGGATCGGATTTTTTAATTTTATATCTTTTAATTTTATATCTGATTTATATATTTCAAATTATATATTTATTATTGGATCTAATTTATTGATTTTTGAATATTTTAATCGAATTCAAATTTTAAAATTTGAATTATATTTAAATTGGATGCGGATTAAAATATAATAATGGGTAATCTGATTTATTAGTTAATAAATTGCTATTGCTATTGCTTTTATAATATAAAAATCACAAAAAAAAATCACATTTTTAAATAATTATAAAAAGGAAGAAAAGTAGGAGCTAGCCTTTAATGTAAATAATGAAATAAATATTATCTCGTGAAATACGGGGGGAATTGTCGGCCGGCTTGCAAGGCAGATTCTATAAAGCAACGTTCGGTTGAAAAATGGATGGGTCACGTGATATCTCCTCATATATTTAGAATATATTTTTTAATTTGATATTATTTCGTAGGTTTAATAGTCAATTTGGCCCAAACAAAAATGTGCCAATTGATTTGTATTTTGGGTGTTTTTGGTAGTCTTTGTAGACTAATTTAATTTTGGTTTAATTAGAAAATGTGTAAACTTTCTATATTATATCTTACTCCAGAAATAAAAATATGGGGGCTAACGGCTTAACCTGCATTAAGCATATATATATAAACTTATATTAAATTTTTGACAGAATTCGGCCCTTCTTTATTAATGTTTTCAATTTTCAGGTTATCAAAGTAAATTTAATATTCGAATTTAAAATATTTTCTAATGACGTGTCCGGACTACAATCTTTAGCCTGGTTTAGATCGGAAAGAGATCCGACCCTAACGGGCCTATTTGGATCCAAAACTGGACGTGGGTGAAAATGAAGAAAGGGGCCCATTAGGGCGGCCCAGTACGGTTTCAATTAAGTCGTCCATTGCTTCTAAAATCCGCTGAATTGCACACGGGTCTAGCAAATTTTGATGAAAATATCAATAGCACCCCTGAAATAAAAGTTAAAATTAAAAATTTTACAACTTTTGGGTGAAATGAAATGTAATGATGTTGAAAATTTCCCCCCATTTTCATATAGTGTGCTTCTATTGTTGGTATTTTTTAAAATTTGTATCAAATAAAACAAGTTGATTTGGGACTCCTATAAAAGTACTCAATTACATCCCCAATTGTGATTCATTTTAAATGCTGAGATTGAGCTCACCTCATTTTTTGCAAGTAATGAGGTAGCTGGGATCATCTCTTTTCGTGTGTTTTGAGTCTCACCAAGTACCAAACCATCAAAGTGTTAATGTGCAGAGAGTAAAGAGACTGTTGAGAAGAAGACCTAGTCAGTTAGTGAAGTCTCAGGCATTATGCATATACCCTAAATGAGCCTTCTTTCATTCGCGTGCCTCAGGCTGATGACCAGAAATTATTCTTTCTATCGCTCAGGTGAACCTGAATGACATGTTTGGATCCAGATTGTTTTCTACCAAAGAATAATGAAAGTTGAAATCAGGAAGAGCAGAACACATACATGTTCCCAGGTGTCTATATTAAATGGATAGTGTGACAAAACACCCACCATTAAATAAAACTAATTTCTATATTTTCCTATGTAATTCCTTCCTTCACATGACCTTCTTAGAATCTCTCTCTCCCCCCCTCCTGGTTGGAGACAGGAAGGAGACCA